TCTGAACGTGCAGTCCGTAGCGCTAAACAACTCATGGAAAAGTCCAAACGAGATGGCACTGACATCTGTCTTAACTTGCTGAATCTGCTAAATGTTCCACGAGATACTAAGCTTGGATCTCCAGCTCAGAGACTAATGTCCAGACAAACCCGCACCACCCTGCCACTCCACAGCCCTTTGCTGGAACCTTCTCTTCTGGCCTCCAAAGAGATTCATGCACGTCTGACAAAGAAAAGACTGTGTCAAAAGAAGTTACGACAGTACTTGTTCAAACAGCCACAGGTCAGGTACCCTCTCAGACACATGCACAATTAAGAGCCAGTCCTTATGTGACACGGTCTGGACACACTGTTCGCCCTAACCCAAAATACGAGGACTGAAGTGCTTGATATGCTGCTGAATTGCACACTCATTTCATTTCGTTGTTCATCTTGGTAAACAATACCAGTTTCGTTATTGTGCAATGCACTTTCTTTACAGTTTATTCATTTACAATAGACAATAGCTACTTTTCAGTTATTGCTACTGTTTCAAGTTCAATATACCTTTGTTGTTCTAGTAAAGTTATGCATTAAAGAAGGGTGAACTAATGTTCATTGTGAAGAAGAATTCTGATGTAAGTACATCTAGATTCTAATCTTGTTTTGTGTTTGATACTATGTTTAGGAAAGGGGATGTAGTACATCAATATGTGTGACATCACTAATATATGTAATTACAAGGTCTCTCTCTATCTGGCCCCACCCCTCTCTCTTGGGTAGTCGGTGTGCTAAGAATATAGCTGCCGTGTGATGTGCATGTGTGGTCAATAAAGCCACAGAGTATGAAGCAGGACTCTTTGCCAGTTTATTAATACTATACGAGTCAACTCTCTCTCTCTCTCTCTCTCTCTCTCTCTCTCTCTCTCTCTCTCTCTCTCTCTCTCTCTCTCTCTCTCTCTCTCTCTCTCTCTCTCTCTCTCTCTCTCTCTCTCTCTCTCTCTCTCTCTCTCTCTCTCTCTCTATATATATATATATATATACACTGAACAAAATTATAAACGCAACACTTTTGTTTTTGCCCCCATTTTTCATGAGCTGAACTCAAAGATCTAAGACTTTTTCTATGTACACAAAAGGCCTATTTCTCTCAAATATTGTTCACAAATCTGTCTAAATCTGTGTTAGTGAGCACTTCTC